AATGCAGGGTGGGAAGAGGAGGTATGGGACTGTATTGCTACATATATATAGTCCAATGTGAGTCCAGATCCAATCCAGTCCAATGAATATTTTGGACCATTTTGGATTGGTCCAATTCAATGTCTGGACCGTTCAATCTATTCAAATTTGTTTTATTTTAAATTGGTTTCAACCCAAACCTATTCTATTGGCACCTATATTCTTATCTTATATCAATGGACCAGATATTGGCTTAATCCAACCCAATCTAGTATAAATTTATTACAGATGGACCATGTCCAATCCAATATGTCTTGTTGGTCCGTCCAATACGTCTAATTTGATTTTGGACTAGACGGGGTCCAATCCAAAACTGGTCCATTGACACCGTTCCTATATATATAGTAAGACAGTCCATGTCACCATGCCTCTCATTTCTCCAAATCCCTCTTCCTAATTTTCTATTTTTTTTGAATTTTTTATTTTTTTAATTCTACATAATTACCCATCAAACTAATAAGTATATAACATGGGCTTAATTATTTTTAACAACATGTTTAGCCAAGTGGCACTACTTTCCCCCACTTTCTCCTAAATTGTCTCTAATTCATATTTATCTCTTAAATTATCTCTAACTCCTATTTATCTCTTAGATTATCTTTAATTTAATAGATAGATTCTCTCCTAAACTATCTCTAATTCCTATTTATCCTCTCCCCCACTTTTTATCTACATCTATTTAAAGAAAGTTTCAATTAAAAAAAATCAAAATTATTTAAATATTATAATGAAATTATATACTAACTTTAAAATATTTATTCATAACACAAAAAAATAATTATAATATATTTAATAATATTCATATTATTAATAGTTCTATATTTTTACAAAATTCATAATGAAATTATGTAGTAACAATATAAATTACAATTTTACGAATTATTCAATTTAAATGCTATTCAAATAATAAAAAATTAACATTTGAAAATAAAATATTATTTAAATATTTCAATAACTAAATATCTTAAACAATGGAACATTAAAAAAAAGATAAATAATTTTATAACAAAATATTTAATATTACATAATAACATTAAAATAAATAAAATTAATAAAATGAAACATGTTATATATTTTACATATTACTTAAATATCTAAATAATGAAATATTTAACATGACTAAATTTTAAATAGTTAAAATAACAAAATTATGTAATAAATTTAAAAAAAAATTATTAAAAGTAGAAAAATAATTAATAAAATATTTCATAATATTCATATTAATAATAATTTAATATTTTACAAAATTAATAATGAATTATGTAATAATAGTACTAAATATAATTTTGTGGATTATTAAATTCAATAAATAATTAATATTTCAAAAATCTAAATAAAAATATTATTTAAATAACTAAGTAATATTATAAATAACTAATTTCATTTATATCAATTAATAATCTTAGAAAATAACTTTCAAAAAAATATTATTTATTAGTAATAATTTTACAATAATAGTTATATACACTAAAATTAATAGTTATTTTATTTTTAGTAATTATTTATTGTATTTTTGATAAATATATTTTCAATAATTATTTGATAAATAGGTTTTTGTTTTGTTATTTAACAGTAAATTTTCAATAATTATTGGAGATTAAACAACTATTATTTAACTTCTAAAATTTAATTTATCATATTTATTGATTAATATTTATTAGAGATTAAACTATTATTTGAGATTACACTATTTATTAACTAATTTAATATATTTTAAGTATTTATTGTATTTTTATTAGATATATATTGTATTTTCATTATAAATTTATTTTTAATAATTGTGTATTTTTGCTAGGGGTGAGCACTATTCGATTAAAATTGAAAAACCAAACCAAAAATTTCGGTTCCGGTTTGTTTAGTTCGATCTTTTTGGATTTTTGTTAAACTGGTGCGGTTAATTCGGTTTTCGGTTTTGGTTTTTACAATTAGAAATTTGGTTAACTGAATTAACGAACTTTTTATTATTATATGTAATATATATTATATGATATGTAACATATAATATATTATATATTTGTATATTAATATATAGTATAATAAAATTTGATTTCATAATATATATTTTGTAATATATAATATATATTACATGTTATAATATATATAATAAAGTACACATTATTAAAATTTTGTTTTAACCGAAATAACCAAAAACCGAACTAAAAATTTTGGTTTTAGTTATTTCAATTTTTCTATAATTCGGTTTTGGTTCGGTTTTAATTTTTATTTGTTTTTAAAATTTCATTTTATTCAGTTCAGTTTTTAACCGAATAAACCGAATACTCACCCCTAATTTTTGCAAAAAAAATTAATAATTATATGAGATGAAACTTTTGTTATTTATTAGAGATTAGACTATTAATTTAGCTGAAATTAGGAGTGTTCAAGGATTGGCTCAACTCTGTTGCAGGCTGTTTCGCCAACCAAATTGACCTGGTTAGGTCAGAAGTTTGTCACCCGAAACGATTAACCATTAGTAAAAACCTGCCAAATCGGATTGTATCAATTCGGGTCTATTTTCGGTTTGCTTTGTCTGTTCAAAAGATTTTAACTTAAAGTTGAAATTTAAATTTAATAAATTATAGTGGTATTACTAAAAAAAATTATATTTAAATTAAGAATCTATACGGTAAATAATTTTTTCGACAATTTAAATTAAGAATGGATGATGTTAAACATTAAAGAGAGTCAATCTCTCATTTAAAGCATTTTCTCCATTCCAAATAATCAGAAAACAAAAAAACACCTTTTTTTTTAATTACTTCTCTCCCATGAATGTTTCCTCTGTTATGAAGACTCACTATCTCAAGTGAAATGATATTTCTTAGGACTGCAAATGAAAACTATTACATTACGTAAAATCCAGAAATACAGATTCAAATGATACTCAAAAATGAAAGAAAAAAGAGATAAAAGAAGTAAACAGAGAGAACAGGTAGATTCACATGGTTCAGCTTATAGCCTAGATTCATGGGTGAAGGAGGAACAAAATCCCATTATAGAATCAGCAATAGAGAAAGCTATGCACTCATAGAAAACCCTAAACCTTAAATACAGTACTCAACTTCTCTCACAAGCCAAATTTTAGTATACAAGAGAAAAAAAAATACAACTTTTTATATTCAGGTTGGACCCATAAGCTGAATATGAATCGAATCCCATACTTCATGAAATTTTGTCTTCAATTTTTTTCTCAACTTAATCCGAAATAAATTCATGAAGCAAATCATAATAAAGAATTCAAGGCACAAATATAAAATTAAAATATTTATAAAAAAGGCATCAAATGATTTAATTTACATAGAAATTATTGGTTTACGTTCAAGAAAATATTCTTCCACAACGACTAGGACCGACTGTAAAAAGATGAGATGATAGAGAGTCATTTAGTTTGATTGAATTTTTGTTATAAATAATCTAAATCGGACACATTTTAATATTCCACGTGTGAGAAGTTATGGTAGCCCTAGACAGCATCCATCGATGATACGAGACTAGCAGAACCTTGCTTTCATCAGTATATATATATATATATATATATATATATATATATATATATATTTCATCAGTACATTGTTGGGTAATAATTTTGGTTAACAGTTCGGGTGTGTATTAGGAAATTGCACAACCTTGCTTTCAATAATTTACCCTGTTCGTCAATTTTAGTCAAAATAAAAAAAAAAACAGCTTAAAAAAATATAAACAAATAATAATAATTATTCCCAGTGAGTGTATATATTCATCTAGAATTTACGTGCACGTTTCTTAGACTTAATTTGATAATTTCTTTCATCACAGATGTTCCAGACTTCCAGTGCCGTGCATCATCACATCGCTAATGAATGGACAAAGAAAAGAAAAAAGAAATGTTTCAATGATCACGTTCACGTATATATTAATCATGGGGATTAATTAGTCCTAAGCCTCAATCGATTGGGGAATTGGGATGAGTTAAGTTCATGAACGTTATGAATTAATATGCAGCCCAATTGATGGGTCCATCTAGAACATCGCGATTGCTAATAACCCACTTCAAAGAGAAAAAAAAGAAAATCAATGTCATCTATAACATTAATAGTTGTTTTCTATCATTCTTTTTCTATTTTAATAATGACCAAACCAAGCCTCTACATATTTGACATTTTCCCCCCGATTTATGATTCATCGTCGTCCTAATTGCCTTATTTAATTGATCGACCCTTCCAGATTGTGGAAGACCTTTTCTACGTAGACTTGGGTTCTTCTTACTTATGACCGCCACGTGAGAAAATGGGATTATTTTTTTACCAGTGAAAGCTACAATTGACCATATCCTTTCATTCTCCAAATTTTCAAAGCTCATAAAAGCTAGGAGCTATGCTTAATCACCTTCCTTTCGTCACCACCGTCGTCATAATAATAGGGCTGATAGTGGTTCATGATGACTCTAATAGTGGCATAAATTTATGGTACATATCCGTTGCTTATTTAAGTCCACGAGGACTAACAAATTTTCAAGAAGATTGGACCCAACTAGTAAACAGGGCAAATGGTTCACACAGATAAGCATTAATTTTATATTTTGTATCTTGTAAAGGGATGCATCTTTGTATATCATATAAAGCCGATTCAGTGAATCACATCCAGGGGCATGGGCATCTGTATTGGCCTATAATGCTTGAATACAACTGCAAAAGCTGAATAGTTAGATTGCTTGTAATGGGGTGGGATGGTGGACATGCAAACAGACAACGCTTATTTGGAAGTACAATACAAATCTGAATTCGGCACTTCAAGCATATATAATATAACTAAGGGAAGAAAACGGATTACCCCTTGTGTGTAGAGTGTAGACCTCTCCCCATAACAGTGGAATTTACATTAACATCTTCAAGATCAATGCATGCGATGAGACTTGAGAGAGAAGGAGAACATTCTCCCATTCGTTAGGCTGGCGATTTGACAGAATCCACATAATGCGGTGGTTCTCATGAAGCTAGATTTTGATTATTGGAAAGGGAAGGAGTTTTGATTAAAAAAAAGGAGCTAATTAAATAACAAGAGAATGATCATACTTTGGGAATGAAACCTAATATAAGCTCAAAATCCTACGAGAGGGATCGTACAAAAAGGGATTCTAGTACGGAAAAGCATAACAGAATCAGAACATTCATGTAATCTGAATCATTTTCTATTTGGGCTTGGGAGAAGGCTCCTCCTTAATAGGTGTTTTTGTGGGCTGATCATTTGCTTGTGGTGGTGCAGTGAGCTCCTCCCAGGCTTCAATCCATGTGACCATGGCATCCCCAAGCTTTTGGAAGTAAGGGTCCACAGGACCAAGTTTCTCCTTCACCTGCTTTGCGAGTTCAAGGTAGCATTTCTGCACAGTTGTACATTCTCTTGGGAGGACAACAGACTGAAAGAATGGAATGATTTCTTCTTGCCAGTAGATGCCCTTATATTCCTTCTTCAAGTTTACAAACGGGTTGCTTGCCTTGCTGTGCCAAATGTATGGTAGCCCCGTCTTCACTCCAAGACTCAAATGGTCACAGATCACCTGAGAACCAGAATGCAGTCAAGTTATATTATTAATTTTTTTGAATAGTTTGTAAAAGAAAAACCAATTGGACTGAATAGCTGAGCTTTTGGCAAAGAAGATTTTCTGGCGGTACCAACCAAAGTTTCAGGCCCTAAAACCAAGTTAAGGAAAGTTGGTTTAACAACCTAAGCTATAACGTTGTAAACCAGAAAATAACTATGTATGAATTATGAAGCCCAAATATCAAGGGAAAGAATCCAGAATGCTTGATAGTTTTAAAGTGCTCATCAATTTTGATGGTTCTACCAATTGGCAATGACCATTCAATCATGACTATCACTAGTGAATGGAGAAGAGAAACTAGGATTGAAAGCTTAGTTTTACCTTTTTTTTTATTTTTGATGAACATAAGAAATAACATTTACTGTCATCAAGACAACCAGAGAAATGGTCCATTAGCATAGAAATGGCAGATCAATCAAATCTATACACCTTTAAAAGTGGTAAAAGATTTACAAGGAATTCATCCCTTGAGCGTATGAAGAAAAGATGAATGAAAAATAAAGAACTTAGCAACCGAACATACCTTGGAGCACCAACCAGCCCACATGTCATCATATCTGCCAATGGGTTGGCCATCACCCATGAGCCCAAAGTACATAGCAGGGCCTATCAGCTCCTTGTTAAACGCTAAATTCATTCCACACATTGGAAACAAGGTGCCTTTGGGTACTGTCATAACAGCATCCACGTACCTGTTCAAGCTAAAAGCAATTACTACAAATAAAGAATATCATTAAAGCTTTACAAAAATTATGAGTTCTGAAGTTCCTGCAGTTGGGCAGTGACATACTAACTCTTTGACACAGGTCATTGATAAAAGCTCAAATGATAATAATCCCCATTATCCATTAAATGTTGTTTCACCCCACAGCCAAATGTTGCAGATAATAGTGTATTTTCTGCTTGCATCAATTCCAAAGCTAGTTACTGATCATTAAAACACATGCCACTTCAATCTACCAGACTAATGAGGTTATTTTATAAAATGCAAATGCTTTCTACAAAACATTGTTTTATGGCATTTGAACCTAGAAAATTGCCAAACTAGGGGAGGGGAGCATCAACTAAATTGAGTCATCAGTGGAAAACTCTCCTCAACAAAGCCTTGTCCCAACCATATAGGATCAACAATACAAACCTGGAATTCCACTCTATGAAGGGCCATACTATCAGTCAAATTGTGAGTCCTCAATTTTTTTCTTACATTCAATCCATGTAGAACCATCATCTTTGCATCAGACCAAAAGTCATTACCAGAATACCAAGAGAAAATAAATATGTGCCCTCGATGTGTTGAAAAATTAAGTGAAATTGTTTCATTCCTAGTAGTTCCTAATACGTGTGTGTGTGTGTGTGTGTGTGCATGCGCTACTTTGTAACTATATATGTCAAGATGGGAAGAAATCTCAAGTAAATACAAATACAGTAATCAATAATTGATAATAATGGTAATGCACAAGGAGCTTACTAATCAGAACATCAGATAAATCCAGACAAAGAGACCCATTAATTACAAACAAAACCAAGGAGAAATGACCTCCAAATCAAAGATAAGTTCCTATATTCTATGGGCAATGAAAGAAAGGAGAGATGGGAGTTTGTTCATGAAATTAGAACAAAACGGTGCAAATGCCAACCTGGTATTGCGTTCCAGAGGCTTGACGAGTTGAGTAGGGGCATCATAGTCGGGGATGTTGAGCCACAGCCCATGAGATATGGCAGTAGGTACACCTTCTCTGAAGCTAAATGGGTAACCTCGTACGAAATCGGCACCTTCTCTGAAGGGGTCATACAATGTGTTGAAGAAGAATGGTGTTGCAGGCATCAATAGGTTCTTTATATGTTGCTCCAAAGCATTGATCTCCTTACCAGTGGGGTCCTTGGCAACCTTTTATTTCTCATCAATTATTATTTAAGACAAAGAAGGATAAAGCAAGTTAGCAGACAGGAGCAAGAGCATGAGATGAGGAATGAGGAAAATAAGAGTCATTCCACTTCAAATTGCTTATTTTTTAACTCAACTTGCACCACAACAATGCAAATTTCCAGCCAGTCCACACCAACTTGCACCACAACAAAAGTAGCTATCTCATAGTCACATAAGCAAATTAACTACCAGCAGTGGTGGTCCAGCCCGCAATCCAATTAACTTTTAAACTTACTTCGTTCTTTATGATGCTTGTATTAAAAAAAAAATGGTGGATGTAGTCCATCTCGAGAGGCAACCCACTGTCACTGATTGGCCTTTACCAAACCCCTCTTCTTTCCCTGGCCACGTAATATGTTTGTCATTTCACTTCAAACCTCTGACTACTTCTCTATACTCAAATTTGATGATTTTGGCCATCGTTAATCACTGTTGGGGTCGACCGAGCACTGAGATCATGTAACCCCAAGATAGGGCTTATCTCAGGTAACCCTGTTTGAGCAACATTTAGATCTCCCACAACACAATATCTCTAAAACCTGAGCAAATCTTCAATAGCCATTTTCAGACAATAAGAAACTCGAGCAAAACTCCACAATCTTGGAAAATCTCTAGCAATATCTTCTTATATTTGAAACAGAAACTTGAAAAAAAAATATAAAACTAAACAAATATATAAGGAGTATTGTTCAAAGTACCGATACACAGAGGTGTATTGATACTTTGAACCATGAGTCCATTCCTTTCTCTATTTTATATTTTATCCTATTTTGAAGTGATCAAGCCTTTTATCCTATTTTCAAGTTATCTTTGCACAAGTTCTAGTTGGTGATTTAACAAAAGAAAATTTGTGCCTCTTCCCTTTTTTTATTTTAGGTCTTTTCACATATGGTATTGTCACTTTTTTGTGTCCCTGTGACTCTAAAGAGGGTCAAATAATGAATAGGGAGGAGAATAGGTACAAAAAATCGGGATAATAATATGCTTAAGCCTAGCTTAGCATAGTGTTTACCACAAACTGAAACACCTCATCCATTGGTACTCAATGCAAGGCTAAGTATTTCATTTTTGAATTGGCACCATAAATGGGCTGAACTACGTCCAAGTCAGCATAAACTTGAGTTGGGTCATTGTAAATATACCAGTAAGTGTGCACATGCTTTGCACATGACAATTTTTGATGATGATGATGATAGTAAATACTATGTTTCCAAAGTTTTCTACTATTTTCTTTTTGTATTTTTGTGTCTGTAAAAATTATTCTTATTTGTCACATTATTTTGTTTAATATGATGAATATACGATTTTAGAGATGTGCTCAAATGTTTTCTACAATTTTTTGTATTTTTATACTTTTATGTGTTTTCATCTTTTTTAATTGTTATTATTATTTAATTATGAGATTTAGGGTTGACACGTTTGACCCAAAAGGTTGAATTGTCGACTCGCCACCAAACAGGAAAATAATTCCATTTTTGGGTTGTTTTAAATTTGAATATATTTCTATCTTCAATAAAAATAATTATTCTTTGTCACACTTAATTTTCTTTAATATGGTTAATTAATATAGAATTCAATGAAAGAAGTTAATACCCTAAGTATAAGACTTAATAAAAGGGAATTGAATGAGGAAAAATGTAGTAGTTCAAAGGCAAAGCTTGGCCAAAACATGTCTACTTCTAAGGGTGAACTGGATACAGAGATAACCTTTAGCATTTTTTGTATAAAGTGGCTGCTCTAAATCTCGAACCCAGGTTCTCAAACTTGTCAAGCTAAGATTTTATGATTATACCAAGCAATAGTCTTCTTTAGAGTCAAAGGGGTATAAAAAAAGACCTAAAATGACAATATGACATGCTAAATTTGCTCCTACACATGCATTTAAAAGACCTAAAATACAGAATGCGCAGAGAACAAGATTCATTTTAATCAACCATGCTTGGTTTTTGAATGACCAATGATCACTCGAAATACAAGGGGGCAGGACTACATGTTTTCTTTGTTTCATGATTCATCACCAACCATTGGCTTTGCAAAGAATAATTCAAAATATCATAAATGGTTTGATCACTTCAAAATTCACCTTAAAATAGGATAAAATACAAAAAAGAGAAAGGTAAGGGATTACATGTTTTCTTTGTTTCATCACCAACCACTGCCCATGCAAAGAATAACTCCAAAATTCATAAAAAGTTGAATCACTTCAAAAATCACCTTAAAATAGGATAAAATACAAAATAGAGAAAGATAAGGATTTACAAGGATTATGAGAGGGATATCTCATGCTGTAAAGATATTGCCAAAGATCTAAGTGTTGTCCCAACATGGTTGCCAAATATAGGCCTGAGTTAAGAGTTATACCATCTCATGGTTAGGTTAGGTCAATTCCAACAATGATCAATGATGGACTACATCTTCTTCTTCTTATTCTCTTCTTTTTTTTTTTTTGGAAATTTATGGTTTTGAACCCCACTCCCCCATAAATTTTTATTGGTTTTTTGAATGTATTGTCTCAAACCCACACCTATGCTATAGTACCCCTTATATTGTAATAGGTTCCCCCACCTGTCGTTGTTCCCAACCAAAGTCATAAAAATTTATGTGTAGAGGAATCAATAAAAGCTCTTTTTTTAGTTGTGTAAGAGTCTACATCCATTGTTTACCTTGATGAGAAAGAGTTCCTTTATTTTTCCCCATGGAAATGCAAAAGCTGGGATTCCTTGCATTTAGGAGTTGGGATCTCCTCTCAAGACATGTTCATAGGTAGGGATCGAGCTTAGCTTTTGTCATAACTTGAAGGGCCTGGCCTGAAGTCCAAGCCGGAAATAGTGTAAAGTGGAACCCAAAGTCTGGCCTATGAATAGGTCTACTCCCAACAAAAACTGTCCCACTACGGTTCCAACCAATATTTTCAGACTGTCACTCAATGATTCCGAGTCTGATTTTCCTAAAACCTAGGGTTTTGTCAAAAATCCATTGACTTGATAAAAAATCGTCCAACCCGGGTGGTTGAACAATCGACCCGTTCAACCCATCCATCAAGTCACAAGTTGCATACTAAATGTACATAGAAACTTTTAGAGGTCATAACTTTGAGCTCAGTTGTTCGATTGAGGTCATAACTTTTCAAGATCTGTGTCCTAAAGAGCCGAAGTCACCTTACCCCATTATTTTTGTCAAAAAACCCTTTTTATTTGGCCTTAAATCCCAACTTTTAACATTCTTTATAAATAAAAATTAAAAATAAGAATATAAATATAAATTAAACATAAAATAATGCATATATATAATATATATATATATTACACTTAAGAGTATAATCATGAATTATTTATTGATAAAATACATTCTTATATATACATAATATAGACACATCTTATATATATACTAAAAGCAAAACCTTGTACGGACGAGCTCCCTGAGGCCACGAAATGGAATCTTTCACCTCCCCAGAGCTCGCACGTGTGAACTAAGCCCGTTGGGCAAATACATATGTTGATGTATCACGATCTGACCCATTTAACTAAAGGGTTGACCCGGAGGCAAAAACGATTCAGGCTCCGGGTCAATTTGTAATACATATATTCCAATATGATATCTTATATATATACTAAAAACAAAACCTTGTACAGACGAGCTCCCTGAGGCCGCGAAATGGAATTTTTCGCCTTCCCAGCGCTCGCTAAATGGAATCTTCGCGTGCAAGGTTCTCTAAGTTCGCACGTGTAGACTAAGCCCGTTGGACAGATACTTTTGTTGATGTATCACGGTCTGACCCATTTAACTAAAGGATTGAGTCGGAGGCAAAAACGATTCAGGCTCAGGGTCAATTTGTAATACATATATTCCAATATGATATATGTCTCCGCACATCTCACCACGAGAATAGAACCCACCATAAGACTGGGATCTACCGTGCATGAGATGTTCGGACACAAATCATGTTCGAACATGTTGGACAATTATCTGTTGGCAGGACGGATCCGGATTCATCCGTGCAAGACCCGTTCGAATACCTTTTATAGCTTACATTAGAATATCTCCCATTAAATAAAACACAGAAATACGGAGACAATGCAAGACCTGTAACCGGTCTTGCACCGACTGAAGCCGATCTCTGGCTGGACTCTCATTGAGTTTGAGACACATGTCGCAGAATTAATAAAAGTATAGGAAAGAGTGCATGGTATTCGGACTTTTAGGACCAGCCTTTGACGTGGATTCATCTTATTGATCGATCGAAGGAAACGCTCTACACACTCAAGGGACACTGAGCTGAACAGGAAATAACAATCGGTGCGTGACAGGTGTACGGGACTAGAATAAAATTCACATAATACCATTCTCATATATGGAACCTGTCTAGCATTGATTGTTTAACGAAGAAAGTGTAGGCTAAAAAGTGTAGGAGATCCAGATCCAAGACGGGCTGATTGGCAAAAGTTCTTCCGGTATCATACCCCTGCAGCAACATAGAATTACCCCCGTCCCTTTTTCTGTTTTCCAAACCAGCCGACACCCGACACAGATTAGAGAATCGAGACTTGAGTTGAGCACATGTTCAATTCCTGCCCTCCCTGAACTCTGAGCTGGGAGCCCAGAATCCGGATTCCGGACTCCTCTCTGCGGTCTAGAGACTAGACTCCCTCACTGCCTCACTCATAAAAGAGAGGAATGATGGTATACGAACAGGGTATCAACTGGACCGGAACGGAAACCGAATTTCCGGTTTGGGTAAGAATTGGAGGGACGAAACCATAATCATCAATCAATAAAAACTGAAAAGAACAAGGAAAAGTGAAATATAAAAGAACTTACAAAGCAATCGTCGTCGATGGTGAAAACGTATTTCTTCTTGGAAACAAGGAAACCAAAGCAGCGGCAAGCGGAGTCCTTGAAGGATATACAACTGGCCTTGGGGCCCAGGATCCGATTGATGTCGTTGCGGTTGTACAATTCGTAGTCAAAGCCGTCGGGCACTCGGATGGTTTTGGTCGGATCTCCGTCTTGGACGATGATCAGGTGGTAGGGCTGGAAAAATGGCCTCCACATCTCCAAGAAATCCAGGTTTCTGATGGTCGGGATCACGATGTCCAGCTCATCCTTGAGAGGAGGAGAGATTGGGGTCGGAGGGTGGGCCATTTTTCTTTCCGGAAATGGGGATTGAGAAGGCGCAGTATCACAACAAGACCAACAACAATAAGGATAAGCTTCTTAAGCTGGGTTTGAGAAATGAGAAGAGAGGTACTGCCGGTTTCTTTCCTTTTATAATGGAGGGGGAGAGAGAGAGAGAGCGCGTTTTCCGTTTTTCGGAAACGAGGAAAGAGTGAGGGAGAGAAAATCGGTGAGCGAGGAGGAGAGGCTGGAGAGCTGCAAGAAAGGAGGGAAACCGGCTGGCTCTCACATGTCATGGGCCGCTTTGCTATGCTTTTGGCTTTTATTTTAAATAAATAATTAAGCACGTATCCTTTTCTCTAACTTAAAAGAGATTCCGCGTTTATTCCGTAAATGGCCTTTTCTTTTCCAGATTTTATAATAACTGCTGAAGGAAGATGCAACACAGAGGGTAAATCAATGTACACGTGGCGGACATGCCATGCCAGGCCCACGAGGTAAGTAAGTAATAAGAAAGAAACAATTGAGTGAAATTCGACGTGTAAGATTTGAATTGGGTAAGGACAGTAGTAATAGTAAGGAGGCCCAACCCACCCAAACGTAGCGGGGGCTATAATTCAAATATTCAATGGCAAAGCATGTATAGAATGTGATTTCTCGTACAATGATAAGCTGCCGACAAGTTGAGGGGGAAAACATTTAACAGTAAATTTCTTGTTTTTTTAACGGAAATTGGAATATGTAGAGACTCATAGAGTCATAGCACTTGTTTTATAACCATGTATTGTATGATGCGGAATTAGCATTTTCATCAGCATGTCATGTGACATACTGTGTTTAACAAGCATCAAAGAAAAGAAAATAAAATCACATCAGATTACACAATAAATGTGTTTTTTTATTACAAATTAAAGAGAGGTTAGGGGGTGGGAACAGAATAGGATGCATGTGAAGTCCAGGCCCACTTTCTATCAGAAAAAGAAAAGAAAGGAAAAGAAGAGGTCAAGGTCAAGGTCCACTAACCTTATCACAGAAATTAAAGCCTGCAATTATACAAATTAATTTGATGCCATAGCTTCACATTCATTCAGAGGGTTGCCAAGTGACCAATTCAGCTGCTAGATCATCAGGGGGAAATGCTAATAATCTCAATTTTTTCTCACTAAATAATGCGATTGTTTGAATGCCACGCCCATATCATTACTCATTTAACAAGCATCAAAGAAATAATTTCATTGTGCTAGGCCAAAAACGAAAAAAAGGGGAGGGGGCAAAAATTAAAGAAATGAATTATACCCATTACAGTGTATGGGATAAACATCCCTATGTCAGACAAATTAAAGTAGGAAAAAATGAGTGAGAGAGAGAAAGAGAGAATGCTTATTCTTGAGTTTATAAAATCAATTGGAAACCAATAAATTAAAATCCATATGTTTTATTTAATTGGTTTAAATGCATGGGAAATTAAACTATTATCATTTTTACCACCTCACCCATGTCCTAGCTAGATGTCAAAGAATTGATGGTAGAAAAGAGAGAGAGAGAGAGGTAAAAAAAAAAAAAAAGCATGTGAGATGTAGAAATAATGAAAGCGATACATATATGTCCCAATGTATACAAAATTCCCCTTTTCGCCACTTCACGATACTTCGTTGGTGAAAACGATAATAACAACTGAATAAATGAGTTGCAGATGTCACCTTAATTATATATATTAAATAAATGAAGATACGAGTAAGATATGATATCTAAAGTCAAGTAAAAGAAATGGTTTAATTTCATTGCTTGCAGATGTATGTCAACTTAATTATAAATATAAGGCTGCACATGCAATCATACATGCACTGCACGTTGGCATTTCATCGGAAAAGTCGAATACATCCAATGCAGAAATCTGATTCTCACTATATAGTTATGAACATTCAAAATGACCAAAAATCACATTCTATACACATATATCTGCTCGTAAATTGGTATCAATTTCAAGCTAATACCTATTCCAAATGTATTTTAAACCTACAAATTCTAACACTCGGAATCGATCATTCTCCCTAAATTCATTAACAGATAATAAGTAAGTAGGGGAGTATCAAGCCAAGGATGAGGACTAACCGACTAAGGAGGGGGTCCCAATGTCCCATGAATTGAAGTCAATGTTGTAACTTGTAACGTACCCTTCAGTGTATTGGGGATGAGGCAAAGGTATTAGGGATTCATTCGTGTAGTCAGGATCCAAAACTTACGGTTGTATTTGTAAGTGATGTAAATCAATAACCAATGTAAAATTTATATTGATTCATTCAGTTTTATAGGTCTTTGGAAGGAGCGTGTAATATGATTGACGTAAAGTTTTACCCCGGTTTAAATTTATTGGCATTTAGATAAAATTGAGTTTCATGTTGTAAAACCTCATCATACATAAAGTTTTACGTCGATAAGCCTTACACATTTTTACACCAATTTTCAAAATGTAATGATCACCTATATATACAATTCACTGTAAACCAGATCCAAACAAACCTACGAGTCAAACGTATATAATAAAGTAGCAGGAGTAGTAGTTAAAATTCATGAAGATCCAAAACTGTGCAAGTGACCACTCCATCCGATGCCAATCCAAACTTTTTTAGTTGTTTAAATGCATTAATTAATAATAAATATCCCATTTTTAAGAAGTTTCTGCAGACTGGTCAGTGAGCCGGCCTGACCCCCTGAAACTTGAATGCCGGAACCTGCAGCTCTCAACTTCTCTCATTTGCAATTATATATTCCATTAATTGGAATTTACTCTTTTTATCAGGCAGTCTTATGCTTCCACTATGGTTCATTGACTGACTCCACAGTCCATACCACAGAAGGGAACCAACCACAGAGACAAACAGGAACTGTCAATACAGGGAGAGAGATTTGAAGCGTAACCCACGCCATGATCCATAGTGACGTACGTAGCTCAACTTCAGCTAGCAAACAGCTACGATAGGAGAGATTAGGAGGAAATTTCCCAAAACTACCAATCCCAATTCAAACTGGACTGACGATCTCATTATCTGCATACCATCCGCTACATATATGTATAATAAATGATCAGATCCCACTTCAATCTCAACCCATTAATTAAAACTGCCATATATAGCTTCTGAGCCAAGTTAAGTCTGATCTAATAAATGCGTCCTAGCAGTACTGCTGCTGAACATACTAGACTAAAATACCAAAATCATTTATCACATTAACATTGCCAATAAAGACTGTAAGTTTAACCCAGAGACCAGAGTGTGCTCTTAGACTCCCAGTCTCCCGGTGCGTGTTACCCTGGATTAATCACTGGTGTTAAACCTTTTCCATCTGTTGCGTTCGACAATCACCCAAGTCCTCCCCAATAGAGCAGCCAAGATCTTTTTTACTCGCAACTGTTTTGGGGCGTAAACTGTTTGATTGATTGATAATTTTGATCATTCGATTATGGGATTGACCAATCCTTGAAGCTACAGTCTGAAAAGTGAATACCATGACATTGATATCTATGATGGTGGAAGTTCACTAAAAACATGATGACGAGTTGCCCTCTGATAAAGAGACAAATCACTGTTTAGGTGAAATAAGGCTCAGGTTACTGATATGGTTTTCAAAAAGAAATGAGAAAGACAGAGAAATTAGCTTTATCAGAGAGAGAGAGAGAGAGAGAGAGAGGGAGAAAGAGAGATTAATTACACGGTTCTTTTCCCTTCCCCATGTCATGTAGATTGTAGAATACATAATTGGAAACGTTTTCTTCATGATTAACAGAATGAGGGAAACAGATATATATTAATTGGCCTAACCACATGTCAGAACACTGCCAATGACAATCACAAACAAGTTACAGATGAGGAACACAAATAGCTTACTGAAACCGTTTTTTGAGTTGACAAAACATGAACATAACGAGGCCTGGAGGTCATGTAATCACAAGATAGGAGGCATGGTAATCATAATGTTGGTAAGGAATGACAATAACCCAATTCTGGGCAATTAACCAAAGTATTCAAAAAGCATCATGTATGTCGAAGAATAACCAAAGAATAACCTAAGTACGCAAAAGCATCAAACATTGCCCACCTTCTAATGAAGTTGGGAATCATTCAACACTCCCCTTTAACCCAGGGTGGGTTATTGCAATATTGAACCTCTTAAAGTTATAGCTTTCTGCCTGTCCTTTAATCAAGAGAAGGTTACTCGAAATTTCTAATAATCCTTTTGACATGGACGGTTTGCAAAAGCCCAATCTTTGGGACCTCCTCTCTCTCTCTCTCGATACATTGGGAGAGCAAGAAACAAAACAGGAACAAGAATAACGGGAACGCCCACTACAAAGAGGAAAGAGCAGAAAAAGGGAAATTCTCTTTATGCCGGTGCATTGGTGTTTGTGGAATAATACAATAAGCATATATTTGAATTTGACAACAAAAGCTCCACCATGTACTGGTGCTATGAAATTCAAAGGAAGTATAATCAATCTACATTTTGAAGCATTTCAAGGCTTTCACCATCATTTGAAGTATCAATGGGATCCAATTATTCTGAGTATCAATGGGATCCAATTATTCTGAGTACTTGTTTTGATGTGTAAGGCATCTGCTGCATATATTTTGTGGACATGGTTATCTGTCAATGACCACGTGAAATCCTTGTACATAGAGATATTCAGCTCTAGGTTTCCACGCTAAAGCCTTTCACAAAAGAAAGAAAGAAAGAAAATCCACGCTAAAGATTCCTATTTCATTTAGGCCACAGGTGAGATCATATTCAAGAGTGGAGACAACCGATAAGTAAGCACTAAGCAAGTAAGCAGTTCAACTTCAATCAATACTACGCCCAAATGAGAAGGGTAATTAAAGACCGTGGACCACAACCATCATAATCTCATTGATCATCGATTATCAATGCCATTAAAACCATGTAAAACCTTAAGATCATAGATCATGTGACCCTCAAGGTCTACACCATTGTAATGGATATATATTGAGTTGCGCCGCTGTGAACCATCTGTCTTATACTCTTATCTCCCACAGATACATTTGCAATGGTTAAAATAAGCAAGAGTCTTCATCCACTATTACTTGTGAAGTACATATACATCCAAACATAAACATAGAAGTTGATCGTTCTTTCTGGTGGGTAATAGAAAATTTATGTTACTAGTGAATCCTAATATCACATGTAAGATCGCATCCGAGGCCTTACAAGGGACTGGGCCCCATCAACAAAGATGGTAGTCCCAGTCATATAGCGAGACTCATCACTGATCAAATAAATAACAGTTGATGCAAGATCGTTCTTCACATCAAGCCACCTGGAAAGTGGCATCACCTTATCCGACAATTTCTCTGCCTTCTCCTTCCCTACTGACAATGGATACTCGTCCTGTAGGTGTAAGCCGCGGGCAATAGCATTGACCCTGATCTGGTATTTCCCCATCTCCAGTGCTGACAGCTGAAATTTTAATGGAACACAGTAGTAAATCAGATGGATGGGATCAAGAAAAATAAATAAATAAAAGATTATCCAATAGAAACAACAACATCCGAAAGAGGATAGCAAACTCCCACCTTAAGGTTATGTTTGGTTTGAAGGAAAAGGTAGGGAAACTCGTACAAGGGAAACCCCAGCCCAAGACATTACGTAAAAGATGTGGAACAAATCTTTGCTCTAATTTATTTGATAACCCAAGGGTAAATTGGGTAGCATTGGCAGTCATACTGAGATCAACATTCAATTATGTTGCGGAAAAACCCAAGAAAACAGATTCGAATGGCACTCAAAATGAAAGTAAAACAGAGATAAAGAGAAACAAGCTCAGAGAACACACAGATTTACGTGGTTCAGCTTATAGCCTACGTCCACGGGCAAAGGAGGAACAAAAATCCACTATGAAGTTGGTAATGGAGAAGAAATATAGAGTTGTGCTCTCACAGAAAACCCTAAGCCCCAAATACACCCAATGTCTCACAAGACTCAGACTCTATATACAAAAGAGAAACCCCCAAAATACCAAACACTTTGTATTCGGTTCGGACCTATAAGATGAATATGGGTCGAGTCCATAATGAAAATTTGCCTTCGGGCTTTTTCAAATTAATTCGGAGCGGATTCATGAAGCGGGTCACCACAAAGAATTCAAGGCGCAAACATAACAAAATATCATAGGACTAGAAATGGGTGTATTCTCGATGATCTAGGAATAGCCCCACACCACAAGGTAATAAAATGGACAATAAGCTAACATACATCTAAATAGACGACCACCTACTACACTGGGAAGTTACAACACTGCAAATTGAAAGGTTTAGAAGAGCTTGGTGAAGGCTATAAAGGATTTGGTTAAGTAGTTAGTGATGATTTGAGGGCTCACAAGTTAACAGAGGATAGCCATTGCGTGCTACAGTGGAAAGATAACGCAGAATTTCTGTAGCCAATCCCACACAATTGGGACAAGGCTTTGCTGAATTGAATAAGCTGAGACAACAGGCGAGAAATGATATGGCGATCTATGAAATTTAAAACAAGATGAAGTTTTGTGACAACATCAGTATGATATACTGCCATCCCAAACTGTCCAATTGGCAATGGCAACTTCTGGATAGAAGAACATAGCCTCAAAATCAGCCTCTGGATGAACATACCATTTAGGCAATTGCTTTCTTCCAAGGAGTCAAAGGAACTGCTCTTAGTGTTGGTATCCATCTTTGAGACCATGGAAGCATATACATAGACTTCGCCTCTTAAGACAGCATTAGACACTTAGGAGTAGCCCCAATTATTGACAAGACCAAGGAAACTGCAGTAGTGAGAAAAAGTGGTAGGTGCAAGAATAAGGCTTTTAAAAGAGCTAGGCAAAGACCAAACAAAGTGGCAAGAAAAGATCTAATGACTTAAGCTTTGACAGAAGACACGGCTGTTGATGGAGCGCAACAGCAGGGCAGGATTCAAAGTAGCCAACCCCAAATAGTTGGGATTAAGGCCAAGTTGAGTTGAGTTGATTTTCCATGTGTATCACTGTACCTATACATGCTATCAAGACCTTACCCATATAAATGAAGTTATTGAAGAAATAGCTAATCAGGACCCGAATCCAACATAGAAGAAAAATTAAGTAATTGACATAAATTACCTGAGATATTTGACTGTAATAATATCATCATAAAACAAACAAAAAGATGACAAAAAATTTCCTTAAGTAAATGAGAAAATGAATAGTTATCCTAATTCCTACATCACTAGAGACTTGGCATTCAGGAATACAATTCATAATCCAAATGGACCAAGTGAAGAACCGTAATCAATTGGAGCCAAGCTAGACTAAAATACTCGAAACCTGCCTAATTAGACATATAATAAAGAAATAGGAAAATGATTAATTGTTGCACTCAATCATGTAAGAATTCTATCTTCCACATTTGAAAGACTACCTTAACAAGCATATATGTGTTCAATTTTCTTTCATGCAAAAGAGAAATCATCAAATAAGAAAAGGAATGCAATTAGAAGTTAACATACCCTAACCAACTGCTGGACTCCAGCCAAACATGAACCATAAGCAGTAGCTCCCTGATAGAGACCCCTCTCCGCTCCAATAATTGAGGTCAGAAATATGATTGATCCTCCTGATTTGAAATCTCGCATTCTTTTTTCAACTGCCTTAGCTAAAAACCAGGGTGCCGTGAAATTTATTTTCACTATCTTTTTGAATTCATCTTCAACCAGATGCAGAGAGTCTTGCATCTTTCCTGTTGTAAATCATTGAATCATGAAACTATCCATGTCAACTAATAATATCTTGTACGCAACCACACATGCTTATGGAGACACCAAAGAACAGGGCAACATAAATCCAGTTTTAACAATTGTCATAAAACTAAATTGTGTGATGAAGACTTCCATGATAAAAGATACCATGTATGAGAAGCATCTTTAAGGACAATATACAACTGCTTTATGCATTAACTTTCATTGACACTTATCCATGCACTAATACTTGCTGATAATAGCACACTATTGAGGGCAGTATTAGATACATCTTGTGCTTGCATGCATTTTTCATATGAACATTTCCAAGCCAATATGTTTTAAGTTCTATAATCTAGGGTTAGCTAAATAAATTTCTTTTTTTTTGATAAATAAATTTCTTCTTGAAACCATACAACCATTATGCCATTATACATCTTCTCCATTATGTTTACCTGATTAGCAAGAAAAGTCTTCAAATACTGAATCATGCCCATTATGCATCTTCTCCATTATATCACACCAAGGTACTCCAGTTGAAAAATTATAGACAAGTGTTAAAATGTTTTTCAGAGTTCTACCACATCTTATCAATACCATGATTGTCCATACAATATGATGCAGTGTTGGAATATCATTGTGCATAGCTATTATAATGCATTGAGCAAAAATACCACTGCAGTATTATTATGCACAATACAACAAGTTAAGATATTTAATGATATGGTGCAATACTGCATGACACAGCATATACTAAACCTTCAAAGTTAAAACCAACTTTCCTTTTTCAGTCCAGTATTTATTTCCTTGAAGGAAATAACTGATCCAGGCTTATTAACACAAACACACACACAAATGGCATGAGTTGAGGATCAAATTACAAATCATGGCAAAAACTGACATTGAATAATTAACCTCCATTTTCACTGTTCAGATTATTTTCTTCTTTGGTTTAATATTTAGTTTCTTTGCAATGGGAAATGGGAAACCAATTCAAACAAACCTCATAAATCTATACATCTTTCCACTATCATTGGGGATTTAGAGAAATAGATTAGTAAACATCTAGAATATTTTTGGATGTTCAGCCAGAATTTGGGTCAATGGGATTTTACAGTTTCAGAAATTTATATGATATAGAACATCAATCAGCAAAAAAAAAATGCAAAAAGCATTATAGAAAGATAAACTAAAAATGATGCCATCATTCATGTAGCATGAAATCACAAAAATATAATCTGCAATTGTGCCAATGAACTAAAGATACTAAATTACATGGTTACCAGCTATGATTTGTGGAAGGCTTCTACAGATTTAGGGCTTGTCAGACACTTGCTAACACAAAAGACATGTAAAGATGTGCTGGTTGCATGGTTGGACATCTATGGATTTGTCTACCTTCATTTGCTTCTAAAATTAAACACTGATAAAAGCAAGCCATTCACAATTTAGTTCTGACCCGATACATTTATCATTTTCTTAAAATTGGTGAAGTAGAAACTAGAAAGTACGTGTGTCTACTTACATCTGTTAAAAATGTATCTGTATGACCATGTTCACACTGAGATTTTAGGGACTTTCTGTGTCAGACGGTATCTGTTCCAAAAAGATCATATGCTACCAGTATAATGGAACTGGATTAGTCATCTGAACAATTGAAACTGCATTTCTCCAAATAAGGGGACTGTGGAGTCCCCCCTTATTAGTATTGGAGGTTGAGTGGCTTTTCTCTCTAATTTATTTTTCTTTTTTGGTTTCAATATCTCCTATCATGCATTGCTTAGGCTGGTGTCCTGCCCTACTCTGTTCCAGTTACAGAGGGCAGGGTGCACAAAGCACAAGGTTAAGTTCAGTCGGGTTGATACCAACTACCAACCTGAACCAAATTCAATTCATTCAACAGATCAATAATCGTATTGCTTTGCACTCTATCAACTCAAGCACTTTATTCCACAAACTAGGGCTTCTGGAAATTTTGGAAGCAGCTATACAAGAATGACTTCACAAAATGGTCTACATAATTTAAACCAGTTTGCTAGCACTTAGGACACACACACACACACATACACACAAATATAAAATTCAAGTTAACTTCATCAAAATATCAATTACAATATACATACATATATATATATATATATGTATATGTATATATATATATATTCCCCTTATTTATAGACATAAGGCCTGCTACTCCTATCAAGCCCCCTTTTATCATTAATAACAATCAAAGAGGATATCATTAATGAATAAATATATAAAATCCCTAAACCCTACATAAAAGAGCAAGGGACAGTACAAAGATATGATCTTACAGTATAAAGGTACACAAAACAGAACATGACATTAAAACACAAACAACCTCATTGCTGTGCCCTGAGACCTGTGTTCCCATACATTAACTAAGTTCTACCAACCCCAGTACTGGTAAAGAGTCAGCAAGGTTATTCGCAGATTTAGGAACCCATCTGCATGAGCTGCTCATCCCAGAGACCAATACCTTGGCTTCTGGAAATGGAATGTTTAAGGATCCACAGCCCCTTAACCCAAGTTCCATGAGTAAAATTTTATCTGAACTCCTAAGCTTCCTACTTCAGATCTAACCCAATGTTTCATTTACCAAAAATATACTAATAAAAAACAAAAGAGTCCACAGTATGTTATAATCAGTAAGCTTAACATAACTGAAACCCGGCCCTTTGCACATGAACATGATCAAGAAAATGACTTTTTTTGGTTCTTCATTGGGGACAATGAGAACAGTCCCGTCTTTTCTCTTATGAGAATAAGATGGGGTATGGTTTCTTCTATTTGTACACTTCATAGAAATTAGTTGTAGTGAGGGTATTATAGATAATGCCTTTCTAATTATCTTTTTGATCTGTCAAATATTATTTCTAACCAAGAGATGTATTCAGATTTCTGTGGTTTTTTTCCCACTTCTTTGGACTAGCTTAGGCTCCAGTCTGGTAACAATGAGATGCAGAACAAGCATTAAAAAATAAACTAGACTGATGGTATCTTCAAAAGCACCTAAATGAAAATAAAATAATGCATATCTGGCTAAAGTTATATTCATGATAAATGGAGTAGATGAACCTATAACCCATAACTGCCATCTAGTCATGCAATATCTCAAAGATTTTGATTAAAGAGAAGGTAAGGAAGAGAGAAGGGGGCCTTAGTCCTAGCAGTGGAGCGAGATTCCAACGAGGATCAGGTGTTGAATCGCAATCAACTCAATGAATAATTTAGATAACTTAAACTAGGTTTCATTTTTATGGTACTTTTTATATAGATGTGTAATAATGAATTAGGCGTCTTGCTTCAATATGTAGCATAGATGCACATTTATAAAGAGAACATGAACATGGTTGAAACCTACAAACTATGCCATAATATTAGATCTTCTGGAGACTAAGAACATTTCGGTTGTACTCTCAGTGTTGAGACTCGAAGGAAGAATTACATGATAACATTATATCAGACAAGGGGCCCAGAACATCTCCAGTAATCTCACACTGTCAAGACTCGAGCAAAGGTCATGCATAATATTATATCCTATGAGGACTAAGCATATTTCAGTTATACTGCTATTATCATAACACAAGGAAGAGGCGTGGTCCTGTGGAACCACGCTAAACAAGTCAAGCCACCAGTAACCAGTGTAATCTGAGACAGAATAACTAAGATTAAATGGTTGAATATAACACGATTTCCACAATTTTCTGATCATAGCCAAAGCAAGGTATGTATTTCACCATTGTCAAGGAGCCAAGTGGAATCAATGTATACCTTCATAAGTATAACAATGGACGAAAGCATCAAAATTTCCCAAAATCCTCCAAGCTTTATCCACTGCTTGATCAAAACTAACCTCCTTATCGTCCTCCATATCGACAGCAACCACTTCTATCTTATCGTTTCTCTTCAAAGAAGCCGATATCTCTTGTGCGACATTCCGAAGGCAGTTCTCCTCTCCCATCAAAACTACCCTTAATTATCACCATATGAAAACATTAGCATCGAAGAAGAAACACACAAATTAAGAAGAAAAAAAAAAGCATCAGAGAATCGGAATTCGTACCTGCAACCGCGATTCACCAAATGGTAAGCAATGTTCTGCGAAATTTCATCGCCATTGGATGTAAGCAAAACCTTCTTCACTGGATTTTCCATTTTAGAAACCAAGCAAGGAATAGGCGCCAACTACCCTAATAGAATTAAGCAACGATGAATCAGAAAAAGAGGGAAAAAAATGGAATTCTCCAATCATCAAAACTAAGGCAAAGTGACAAAAACATGAAAAGAAAGGACTAAATATTCGAATATTAGAACTGGAAAGATAAAGAGGGTTTAACAAGTGAAGTAAAATCAGTGCGAACCTGATCTGCAGAAGCCGAAAATCTTATTTGTGGAGAAAGAGCAAAGAGTTCCTGCCTTATATAAGAATTGACAGCACCTACTTGAAGCAAGCAGAGGCTTCGAATGCATTTAAAACGTCAGCGGTGACGGAGAGGATTTGATGTAATAATTTATTTGTTAAATCAAATAAGCAAGAAGCCTCACTACACCTTCTTTGTGCAATTCGTAAACCAGCGTCCTGGCATGAGTGGTGCCTCGGTGCGCCCACGGCAAGGGCTCGTGATGGGCAGGGCTGGTGGCCGCCTCAAGTTCAGGTGTCTGTTATATGTCTTTCGAAGTTCGAACTGTTAGAGCCCATAAGGAAAAACACTTCGGTTGGAACTTTTCTTCTACCCACGACACCAGACGGTGCGCAGTAGCTACTAACATGATGCTACAGCCGCACATCGGGAATATGTTTTATACTTGCATGTTGCCATTGATGGGCCGATTCCTGATGTGCGGCTGTAGCATCTTGTGGGTAGTAGTGTCGGTAACGCACGGTAAGTAAATTTCTTCAATAACAACAAACTGCACTGGACCGAACACAGATCGCAATTCGCAAAGAACTGTGTTGTTTTTGTCCTTTCCAGTAATTTTATCAGACACTTGAGCGGTGTTCGGTTGGTGGGCTCGGGCGTTTGTGTTGTGTGTGTGGTATATTCTGTTTGCCGACCTGTAAGTATGTTGTAATGTAAACTCCATTCCACATACCCTGTTATAATATTTGGGTGTTCTATTTTACTACCTAAACTTACTTATGTACCAAAGTCCACTTAACTATCACAAATTAAGCAAATGAACACCTCTTTTTAGGGTTACAACAGGAAAATGGATAAATGGATTTAAGATGCTTTGTTATTATGTACATTACGTGGCATATTAGACATTTTCAAATATCCAAATTATCCTTCCACATGATCTTGCCTTTGGAAAGAGTACAAGTGTACAACACAAAATTGTGGGAAATATGCACCTATTCAGTTCGGGAACTGGTTACAATTCCAGTTCCCATTTATCCAATGACATGTTTTTATTGAAAAAAAAATGTTGAAATATTCAGCAACCATCGAATCTTTCAACCCAAACAAAGGTTCATGGGTTAATGTTAAAAACATTTAAATATGTTAAGAAATTAACAAAAAAAATGGCATATGCATGTCGTACCTCTATTCCAACTAATTAACTTATTTTCATTTTTCTAGTTTTTTTACAAGTCATTCTAATCCTTATTACTACAGCTAAATTACACCAAATCATAAAGAAGAAAAACTGAGTGGAATTTCATAGTCTTTTTTTCTTTGCAATAAAAACTCAAAGGAAAAAGAGGTGTCGTGCCATGCTGGCACATGGCCTTACCAGCAGTCTAATTCAGCCTGTGGGTGTGGGTCGTGCTTGGCACAGTACAGCACTGTAGACCTTGGCCCACATTGTACCAGGTTGGATCTACCCATGAACAGGGCAGCCCATTTTACACCTATACAATCATGATTACAACCGATGTGTGAACTTCACTTTTAAAGTGAGACCGAATTCATCCTCATAAAATTTGGAGTTGAGATTTTCTACTAACCCGGAGACCCACCGTATATGAGATGTGCGGTATAAAATCACATTGGTAGAGAGTTGAAGCGTGTTTTATTGGAAGATGAACCTAACTTCAAATTTTGTAGTCACACCGTGTTGTATGTTTTCTCATTCACGGAGAAACGTTACAAATATATGAGGGTAACTATCGTGAGCAAGGTGTGAGTACAAATTTTGCGATGACTACTGCATCCCGATTTTCTTAAAGTAGGGGTTGATAGGGAATAAAAGAGTATGGTTTTAGAAATTAGAATATATGTTTTTAAATTCCAATGCCATCATTATTGAGAGAAATGCACATCTGATGCAACTCGAAGCAGCACTCCCCTATAACCCCTGATCAAATATTAATAGTGATATCTCAATTAAAAATCAATAATTCATGTGAGGTTATGAATTTATTTGATCACTCTCCAAGGGATTGGTTTAGGTAAGCTGCTGGAATACGCCTCGTTTGTAGCAGGTTCGGAGTCCTAAAATAAACAGTGGAATCCACACAATATTTGTCATCGTCTCCAATCTGTGTGCACGTAAAATAAAAGTAAAATTTAAAAAGAATCGAGGTTTAAATATGCATATCAAAAAATCGTTGTTGACAGAGTCCAACTTGTCTCCTCCCTCCTCAATCCTCCATCCGCAGGTCCAAATCGTGGCCCACCAAAAGAATGCATGTTTCCCACACCCGGGGGAGGGCGGGTGTTATACCACTTAAACGGTTGGCGGACCCACCGGCATTCACAACGTAGAGAACTTGTCTTTTTCATCTCTCGATTCCCTTCCACATGTCATATTGACTTGGTCTATTCTTAAAATCTCAAGGAAAAGTTATCAATGCTGCAATGTAAATAAAGTGGAACTCCATGTATTATTTCTTTTTTCTGTCAGCGATTAATACCATGTGCAAGGCAAGGCATTTGGCATTTGTTTTTCCACTGATAAAGACCTAACACGGCATAAATTTAGGGTTCGTTTGGTTCACAGTTGGAATCGGAATCAGAATGGGTTATTCTTTTATCTGTTTGGTTCAGTCTGGAATTGAAATCGGAATCATAATTTGATGAAATGGATTTTCATTCTGATGAGGACGGATTTGGCCCTCTAATGACATCATGACACATGGCATCTTGGAGCAGTTAGTTGACACATAGAAACCATCTAAGCAATGACTTGGAGTCCCAGATCGTGGTTTCTCTTCGTCCAGACCTGGCAACCTGCCTTCACCGCCAACCTGGCGACCTCGACCACAACTCAAGTCAGCTAGAAGCACCTCATCCAGGGCCGACCTGCAGCACCTCGTCACTGGCCAAAGTGACCTCGACACAAGGAGCGGCCTCCCTCGAGGGCGTGTTCGGCATGCATATCCCGACACTCCCACGATTCTTGGAAGTTGACTCACATACCGAACGTTCCGGAGGGTGGTCAACGTGCATGATATTTACCTCCAAGGATTTTGGACCGGTTAGGCACGATCTCCCGTAAATCTCGGATGTGGTGCGTGAGGCCCACACTAAACAATGCATATATAAAGGCACCAACCCTAAAGACCCAAAGAGGACAAAAATGAGAGGTATGTGCGATTATTTGCTCACTAGCGCTCTAACATTCAAGTATTCAATTCGCATCCATAATATAATACTGACTTAAGCATCCATAATGAGAGGTATGTGCGATCAGAGAACCCGGCTTAACCACCCCGGGTTCTCTGATCTATTATCTTGCAAGTTGGTCCAGCTCGCCACGCGACTGGTGTTCAAATCATCTTCCTACTAGGAGTATCCAAATTGTGCACTATCACATTCCTAAGGAAGGAAAAGGGAATGACCATTCTCTCATATAGAAAAATGTCATTCCACCACAAATAGAAATGTATTTTTGATTCCACCCAATCAAATAGTTGGATTCTGATTCCGATTCTAAACCCTGTTCCTGCAAACCAAACGGACCCTTATGAGTTATAACCAATCACTCAACCGGTATCATAAAAGTTCCTAACCAATCGGGTGGTATACATCAAAATTCACGTCTGGGGTTTCATTGGTCCAAAACTATGCATGTGCTTGCATGTGTGTGGCTCGTTTGGTTGTTAGGCTCCTAAGTATTCATCTAAACCCAATTATTTGATCTATTAAGGGTCTTAAATTTAAGATTGGCTTAGATTATAGCTTATGTTGTGGTTTCCAAACGTTTAGTTTGGTTAGGATTAGTTCAAGTCTTCAACTTGCCCAATCATGACTTGAGTTACACAACTAATCATGACTAGAATTTCCACAAATTTTTTGGCACTTCTCCAAAATGTTTCATTTAGGTGCAAGGCATTTTTTTAATATGTATATAACAAGTATATATAATTTAGTGAACTATACTTTCTCTTTAAATGAAAATACATTTCCATACATCCTCTCTTTTATCTGCTGTTAAAAACTAGTGTATAATTTCACAACTTTTAATGATCATTTTTTGTTCAAGAACGGAGGGAATTTCTCATATTAAATAATAAATGGATAAATAAACTTTACAAAGTATAAAAAAGGCTAGTTATGTTAAACTAGTTATAACCCTTTAATGAATGCTAGCAAATGTTCATATGCTTTGTATGTGGCATATTTAGATGATGATGACGATAATAATATGTGTCCAAGTTTTTCTATAATTTTTTTATTTATGTGTATAAAAAATAACTCTCATTTGTCGTAGTTATTTTTGTTTAATATGATGAATATATAATATTAGAGATGTGCATCCATGTCTTCTAATAATTGTAAAATATTTGCATTTATCTTTTTTGTTTTTATTATTTAATTATGACATCAATGGCTAATACATTTGTCCCAAAAGTTAAACTATTGACCTGTCACCAAATAGGAAAATTTTTCATTTTTTTATATGTAGTTTCCATCATCAATAAAAAACAATTATTGCTTATCACGTCTTTTTATGTGACTAATGTAAAATAGTAAAAGTGTGCCAAATTATTCTATACATTTTTATTTATTTTATTTAAAAAATATTGTTTAGCTATTGACATCATAGGTTGACCCATTTGACACAGATGGTTGAACTACTTACTTGTAATTTGGATGGAAGAACGGTTTTTCTTTTTGGTTAGTTTTAAAAAATATGGGTTTTACATTGTTTAAAGTATTGGATATGAATCTAATTAGTAGAGCTTATTGGTGAAAAAAATACCTTAAATATAGGATGTAATGGAAAAGAATGAGAGTTAATATCTTAAACATAAGACTTAATGAGAAGGAATTAAATCAAATTAAGAGAAGTAATTCAAATTACATTTCTACCATTGCAATTAAAGAGATACAAAATTCAAAAATAGGAGTATTTCAGTCAAGAAGAAAAGTTCCATAAGCTCATTCATACTTTTAATATTAGCACTAGTTGATTTATTTCCTTCCAACATAGACACTTAGCTCAAAATATTTTTATTGGTTTGGTCAACAATTATATAACCTTATTGGTTGAACAACCAATTTACCACCTAAATGAAAATATAGTTCCATTTTTATTTATAAATTTAATTAGTGAATTTTTTTATTAGAAATTACTGTACTCGATAATAAGAAGTAGAAATGCATTAAATATAAGATTAGATGTGAGAGAATGAGAACTATTACCTTAAATATAGGTATTAGACAAAGAAATAATAAGATAAACTAAAAAATGGCAATGCATATTACA